GCTGGCCGAGCCGTTGGGGGGAGTCTTGGCATGGCTAGTCGTGGGCGAAGGACTCAACCCCGTCGTGGAGGGCGTCATGTTCGGCATTGTCACGGGCATGATGGTCACCATTTCCATCAAGGAGCTCATCCCCACGGCGGTCAAGTACTGGCCCCAAGGTAGCGTCGTCACGGTTGCGATCTTCGGCGGCATGCTCATCATGGCCACCAGCTTGATCCTCTTTGCTTACGCCGGGGTCTAAGCCATTTGTAATATATAATAATCGAACGATCTCATACTTTAGAGCTGAATACGAATTCACAGGAAACAAAGTTGTCGTCCACCTCGTCTTGTCTCACAAGGTCAGAGTGGTAGGAGATCTCATTTGAGCGCCAGTGTGTTTCTGCTGATTTGGGCATGAGTCATGGTGAACATGTCGTTGTTGAACGACTCGCGACATTTACAAAAGGTTACGTCGCATGTGTCCAATCCTAGTACTATTAATAGTACTCACCAACGTTATACTCGGAGTACCCCCATCGCACTGTTTTTGATACATACATTTTTGGATGGATAACGTAGAGCTCTTTCTACTAGTATTACTTTGAAGTAATATATCGTGACTTCAAATCCCAATTGCTCAAGAACGAGAAAATACTTTAATTCTGATAGCACCCAGAATATTGTAATACTCAGTATTTAATACTACGTAGTACTGTACTGTGTAGTAGTAGTAAGAAGAACACAATTAGTTTATCATCATCTGGTGCATCAGGTCCACGAGATCTTAGAGAGGTTTAGCAACTATTCCACACCGCATCCATTCCGCACATTTTTGACAACAACCGCGTTATGGATAGATATAGTCAATATTCCGACCGCACTAGAATAAAGTATTGCGCTTAACATCCAATCAGAGTTAAAGAAGAGATATATTTATCCAATCAAAATGTAGTCAAATTTCTAAATGGGCGTTCCGACATATTTGGTCGGAACGGCCTTGGAAATATAAATATATCAATACAAATATCAAGTTCACTCATATTCATCAACATATTTCCTCAGATTCCGACGAGTGAAGTCCAGTAATTTTATTAGGAAACAACTGTTTACAGCTTCCAATATACGCTCGCAGCGACGCGATGAGCCTCGACGACCTTCGACCTGCCAACTCGAAAAAGGCACGCGACAGCACCGTGAATGCTTTCATGAGATTCCTCACAGAAGAAGGCGTGTGTATTAATTGATTCGGTAGACAAAGCGATACGCACTGACACAACAGGCGTGACACTGATTTCGCTGATGGACCGCTTTGGCATTCACTTGGCCGGGTTAAAGGGCAAAAATGGAAAGCCGTGTGCAAGAAACACAGTCGACCAGTACTTCCGCCAGACAATGCTGTGGCTTTTCTCACGCTTCCCCCAATACACCCAACTTGTGGACATCACCTTACTTGCGAAGGGATGCACACTTGAGAAGTACAGCGGCATGCGGCCTGGAGGACGAATTGTAAAACAAGCACCAGCATGCAAGAAACAAGACTTGGATTCCCTTATGAGCTATCTCTACAGCACCG